CTGAGCCTCGCGGGCCACGTCCGGGTTCTTAAGGTTGCAGCCTATGGGTCAACGGGCAGGTGCAAAAAAGAAAGGACAAAAAACAAAGCTACGCAAGGGTAAAAACAAAGGCAGACGGGACAAGCTTCTCCTCATGAGTGATTTCATTACAAAACGAACTTAAAATATTCATGAATGTAAAACTATTCACATGGGGGCTCCCCCACGAACTCATGTTTTACATAAACTGACTATTTCTACTCTAATTCCATTATGGCCCCCCGACTGTGTCGGCTGATGATGCGATTGACAAGGACGAAGGCAGCTCAGCTATGGTCGGAACGACGCTCGCCTCTAACTCGGCCTCCGCTGCCTCCGCAGGCTAGATGACATCTTCCCGGCGCACATCTATAGCCACAGTCGAATGATGAGCCTCCATCACCCACTACGCAGTGACATGCTCCATCTTGCCCAACCCCTTGGGTTCATGCTCTGTCTCACCTGACCCTTTGGGTTCATGCTCCGTCTCACCCGACCCCTTAGGTTCGTGGCCCTGGCTGACGGGACGCGGCCTGTCCGACGAAACGTCATCTGGCTAATGAAACGTGGCCTGGGCGGGGCCCACCACTACCATAACTCAGGAACGGGAAACGAGGCACAACCACACGCAAATGACCCACCGCCTTCCCAAGCAGGGTTTGGAAGGACCCACCAACGGAATCTCCATCGAGGAGAGGCCAACTAGTCACTCGAGTCGATCAAATGGCTCGAGCGACTGCCCAGAGATAGGTAAGGAGCAGTGGGATGCCCCATGTGGGTTATGCCGACTCTGTCACGAACGACAGACCTGAATTCCACTCGGACATATTCGATAGGAGCTTCCCGAATCCATCACTCGAGCCATCGAGGTAACTTTACCAACCCCCGTTCTACTTTTCCAGTGCATGAGCATTCATTCATCTATTCTCATGCATGCATTCATACATTCATTCATACATTCATCCATACATTCATCCCATACATCCAAGCATTGCATATGCAATTGTTGTATCATAACGCTTCGCGTCGCATCACGAAGCGGTAGTCGTCTCATTCGATATGAGCGATGACCAACCGAGGTTCAAAGGCGGGCCCATGAAGGGCTCGAGGCTACCTTGCATCAACCAGAGCTAGGGGAGAAAACATAGATGAGCCCCAGCGGCCTTCGCCCGATCCGCTCAGAAGCGGACAGGGTCATCTTGACCTTCTCATTCGATCTTGACCTCGAGCGATGCCCATAGAATCTCCATCGAGGAGAGACCAGTGGGCCACCTGAGTCAGTCTCTGGAATGGCACAGGCATCTACCGAGAGGCGGGTTAAGGAGCAGTGGAATGCCACATGAGGGCTATGCCGACCCTGTTATGAACGACGGACCCAGATTCCACTCGGACATGCCTGCTAGTAAGCTCACCGAGCGCATCACTTGAGCCATCGAGGCAAGCGACGTTAGCTAAACCCCTCTGGTTGTGAAAACCGTAGATGGGGTGACGTGCGAAACTTGACCGATCCCTACCGAGCCCAATGGGGCTCGGGGGCTCGGGCCACCAGACCTCGACTCGGGAGTCTAGCCGATCGCATAGGTTGCGGTCGGAACGGACACGGGCGAACACCCCAACCGAAAGAGACACAAGAGTCTGCAGTCCCAAAAAAGAGTGCCAAGGTGCTTAGCCTATGACCGACTCCCCAATCGGCTGTAGGCTCGGGGGCTACACCCACCAGGTGCGCTCATGCGCACCTGGTGGAAAATGGATTACCAGTAAGTCTCCTCCTCAGGGGCTAGGCGCCTATGTCTGCATGGCGCGCCTCCGCGGCCTTTGCTAGTCCTTTCCTCTAGGGCTGGGTGCCAATATCCCTCCGGCGCACCTCCGTGGCCTTTGCCACTCCTCCCCATGGAGACTGGGCACCCGTATCCACTTTGCGCGCCTTCATGGCCTTTGCTAGTCCTCCACATGGAGGCTGGGTGCCTAAATCTTACTCAGTTACCCCATGCGGTACAACAAACCAAGGGCGAAAACACCAAAGTTCCAATAACAGCCCCTTCACGACTTCACAGAAGTCCCAAAGGGGCTCGAGGGCTCCTGTTGAGTTCAAAAACCCGGGGTCCCCAATGGACCCGCTTCCCTACAAAACTTGGCCCAGCAGGCGGCGCAACGACAGCACACTTCTAGGCCAGCCCATATACATAATGATAGGGCAAGACCACGATCCGGTCCTCGATCGGCACCTCCGATAGGAGATCTAGTCGAAGCCCTGACCTCTGGGTCACGGGCTCTGCCTCGCCCGACCTCTGGGTCATGGGCTCCACCTCGCCCGACCTCTGTGTCATAGGCTCTGCCTCGCCCGACCTCTAGGGGTGGGCTTCGCCTCGCCTGACCCCCTTTCTTCGATCGAGGATACGCCGGGCCTCTGCTCGCCTCTCTTTCCCGACCGACATGATGGGGGCCGACTGGGACTGACCGACCAGGGACGCCCGCTCGGTGTGGTCCTGGGGAGCAAGCGGAGAAGATAAGGTAAGGCGCTCAAGTCAACCGTAATACCGAGGATCGTACCCTGCCATACCCTGCGCACCTACTGGACGGTGCCACCAGGCCATGACAGACGGACACTCTACAAATTTCCAGACGTGTCAGAGCATAAACAGTATTGTGGGCGCTGGCAGCCATCCCATACCCGAAGGCGTGAGCAACAAGACTAGGCAGCACACGTATACACTCTCTCTATTTCTTTCTGACTTGTAAGGTCATCCCTTTCAACTATAAAAGGGGATGCACTCTCTCCTATAAAGCTCTCTCGCTCGCTTCTTCTCTCTGGAAGACTCTCCCGATGACTTGAGAACGCAATAGCTCAACAAGCTCTAGAGACACACAGAGCATACGCTTCAATACTTAGCATACGTTAGAACCCCCGTCACTCTCGGCCACTCGGTTCAGAGTCTGACCGGGCCTCTAACACCCCCTTCTCATTCCTTACTCGTTTGTAACCCCATAGCAAACTTCGAGCACCTGGGCTCAAGAATAAAGTCACCGACCGACCTCAATTGGATGTAGGGCCCGTTGCTTGAACCAGTATAAATCCTGTGTCATTGAGTGCTAGGCCACATCCGATCACAACGCGCGGTAAAACTACAAACATTTACTTGTTGGTCATATTTTGCACCGACAGAGCAGATCCAAAACCATGAGACAAATCCAATTCATCGATCTCTATGTCTCGGCTTCAGTGGCTTCAATTTTGTTTGTGTCTTCACTTCCGGGCTTTTACTTTTTTGTGTCTTAGACTTTCTAGCATGTTTGTAGGCCTTCAACGTAAATTCTATTGTCATGCTTGAGATGTTGACCATCCAGATCATCACTTTGCCTAAGTCTAAGTTCACCTTGCATCCAATTGAACTATACCTAGTATACTAAGCGAACGTCGTTAGTCCAAATGGTCATGTTGATAATCAAACATCAAAATCCAAATTTAATGGACCATATGGTTCATTTTACTTACAATGATGAAGAGGTCTTGATAGGTCATATATTCCACATCGGTTCCAACAAAGGCTGTTATTTTGTCCATTTTATCTCACTGACCTGTGGGCTCTGTTTGTGTATGGAAGTTAAGTAAATTGTACGCAGATTCCTCTCTATCTCTCTCAATGAGTTTGATTCTAATGATATGCCACTTTCTGTTCTTATCTTTTCGATTTTGACCTTTTTCTTTTCTTGTATCCAACTTATTTATTTATTTAATATATATGTATATATCCTTTTGAGATTTTTTACTAGATGAAGCTGATGAAAAACTCATTAAAGCCTCTAGGAAACATTCAGGTCCTTTCAAGGGAGGCAGCGGGTCAACAAACTAGATGAAGCTAATGAAGGGAGATCGATTTGACAGAGAGAAAGAACACATTTGGGGGAGGCGACCTCTTCTCCTTTTCTTAGCAAGACAGGGTGGTCTTTGTAAAATTCCATCCCTCCACCAGAGGCAACAATCCTGCCAAAAACCATCTAGTATCCACGCTAGCATTGCCACATAGGGTGGAAGGCGTCACCGAGGTGTCATGGTTCTACAATGCACGAGTTATCAACTTTAGGGAGCCATATTTTGTTTTTTTAAGAGTATATGTACCTAGGTGGCACAGGGCCACAAGTTTAAAGGCCGTCAGTGTACGTAACTCTTTCTTAAAATGAGGAATAAAGTTTACTTACTAGCTAGTTTACTGCGTATATATCTACAATACCATTTCCAAAATTCTAGGGTGATCATGGCCCGCACGAACCATCTCTTAGATATTCCACTGCCTATATACCACGCCAACTAAAACTACTAGGTAAGCCTACTCATGGCATGTCTTATAATGCAAGATAGTTTCAACCGCCAAACTTTTAAAAGAAATCATAATAAGCTGCCATCACCAAACAAAAAAAATTGCAAAAGGAAAAAATAACAGATTTTGATATACTCTCTCTATCCTAAAATAAGTGTGCATCTCATTTATCAAGGAGTCAAAGTTTTTTAAAGTTTGACTAAATATAATATACCGAAGTACTAATAATCATGATGTATAATAAGCATTATTATATAGATCATGAATTGTACTTTTATAATAAATTTATTTGGAGATGCAAATATTAATATAATTTTTACATGTAACTAGTTAATTTAAAAAATGACTTATTGAGAAACGTGATGTACTTTTATTTTGAACGAAAGAAGTATGCTAAAACAAATGGGAAAAAAAATCAAACTAAGAAATGCTAACGCCCTCGTGCGTGACTGGGCGTGGACGTGGTGCACGCTGGACTAGTGCGTGCCCCTGCCTCGGGACTCGGGAGTCAGACCGAGCAGGACAGGACAGCGCACTTGTCGTTTTCGGCGACCCCTCATTTTCCCAATCTCACTCCCCTGCCTGAAAAATCAGATCTCGCGCGCCGCGCAGGCCATTCCAGTTTCCATCTCCCGCCTCCCCCCACGCTCCCCCCACCAATCCACCATGGCGCCCTCGTCGCCTCGACGCAAGAAGCCGTCGTCCGCGGCGAAGCGGGCGTCGACGGGCCCGACGGCGCTGCCCGGGCGCAACAAGAGGAAGACCCCGCCGCCGCTTCCCGAGGCCTCGGGTGCCACGCAGCCGCCGGCCAAGCGGAAGCCGGCGTTGTTCCAGCGCACGTGGTCCCCCGGCGACGAGGTCCGGATCCTGGAGGCCCTCGCCACGTACCGCCGCGAACACGGCGGCAGCCTGCCAACGCCGGCTGAGCTCTTCGGCGCGCTCGATGGCAGCCTCGAGAAGAAAGGCGTCGGAGCAAAGGAGCTCGCCATCAAGCAGCGCAGCTTCAAGCGCCGCTACGACCGCGACGCCAAGAAGATTGCTCCGCCCGCCGATGAACACGAACGCCGCCTCTACCTCCTCTCCAGGCACGTCTGGGGACGCGATCCCCCGCCCAGACCACCGGTTGCTGAGGTCCCAAGGGCTACCCAAGGGAAGGGCGCCGGCGCCCAAGCAAACAAGGACGCTACCCAAGCGAAGAGCGCCGACCACCAGTCCGGCAAGGAGGCGGTGAAGCCCAAGGCCAAGACTTTGGATGAGATGCGCGAGCTGTATCCTTACCTGGTTGATGAGGCCACGGTCCTTGTCGAACCGGCGGTGCTGGAAAGTGTGCTCCTCGGCATTGAAAACAGCGACGCTCAGGCGTTGGACAAGAAGATCAGGAAGGCGAGGAAGCAGCTCGCCAAGGCCATCACGGAATCGGTGAATGCGACCTTCTTGTCCTCAGTTAATTAATTATTTATAAAGCTTAATCACGTTATGCAAGCTAGATTTCTGGTCTTTGTTTAATGATTGTGCTTAGAAAAAGGGAAAGCGTTTCTCGGATCCCAGGTGGGGTACGGGAATAGGTTATCTCAAGGTATTGACTAGACCTGCAACATATGTTTCACTAGTGCCAAATTAGTGTGAAATAAAAATGTGGTAGGTAATATGTGTAAGTTTCAGCCTGCCGTTCCAGAATACAGAATCAGAGTTCCCATTGGGGGAAAGAAACTAAAAGGACAGTGCACGTGGGTCATTTATGAACTAATGAAATTTGTTGTTTGGAAGGCACTATCTCTGTCACCTCCACAAGATGATAAATATGCCAAAAATTCCTTGAACACACTTAGATTTTTTCATCCTGTCCATATTGTATCTTTTTCCCTGCATGCTAGCTGTTTTCATGTGCTACGATGTCAGAAGTTTGTATGCTGGTATATGTTTCTTTACATTTGTGTTATGCTTGAAAATTATGCCTCTCGAACTCAAAAAGTTGTGTCTCAGGGGTGCATGCATGATGCATCAAAATTTCTAACTGTTTGTGCTAATGCACTTTTTACTACCATTAGTGAAACCCTAAATCACCAAAATAACATTAGGCTATATCAATGGCCGAGGGGCTTGGTCCTGCATGTCATTCACAAGCTCTGTGGTGTTTTGCAAAGTGCAATTTTGCTTGTGGCATGATAACAGTTGTATGACACATGAAAATATACATATATCTGTACAGGATGGTTTCAGAATATACTGAAATAGGAATCACTGCTTAAAGTTTCCTTCTTGGGTAGTGTTGATGTCATTTGGGTGTCTATTTCTCTTCTTAATGAAAAACCACCTAGTTCCTCCTAGGCTGGATCTCATTTTTTAGGAAGTGAGCCTAGCTCAACTGGTTGGGTGAGAGGTGTGGCAATGCACCCAACAACCCAGGTTCAAATCTCGTCTTGGACTGAATTTGGGTGCCTATTTCTCTTCTTAATGAAAAACAACCTAGTTCCTCCAAGGTTGGATCTCATTTTTTTAAAAATCTTAAGTGGCACAGTGGTAGTGCATCATTTTCTCATTCGTGAGGTTCTGGGTTCGATCCTCTCCTGCTTCAATTTTTTAGGAAGTGAGCCTAGCTCAACTGATTGGGTGAGAGGTGTGGCAATGCACCCAACCACCCAGGTTCAAGTCCCGTCTTGGACTGAATTTGGGTGCCTATTTCTCTTCTTAATGAAAAACCACCTAGTTCCTCCTAGGTTGGATCTCATTTTTTTTTTCCAAAGCAACCTTTTTTTGAACAGGAGGTCCTACCTATTTCGTTTCATACTTGCTACTGTGTGCTTGCAGCATACCAAAATATATGGTTCACTTGCTTCCTTTTGTGCTCCAATAGTTAGGTTTCATAGGAGTTTGTCCCTAATTCCGTTTTCTTATATTGCATAAATTTACCACTCAGGTACCATTCTTCTCTGAGCAGGATAAAATCTGAAGCACTGACTTCTCAGGATATGTTTGTTTTTGTCCCAAATGGTTTTGAATTAATCAGACTACTATATGCATGTCAGTGCCAGTATGTAATATGCTCGTTAACCAATTGTATCCTATGGATATGAAATAATAAAATCACTAGTTCCTTACAACCAAATACAGAATTAGTTTATTATATTTATTGAGTTTAGTACATGCTTTGTTTGATTAATTTATTTACAGTAAGCAAGGCACATAGTAAACTATTAGTCTTCCATAATCTTGTTCGATATATTACCATCTATCTCTTTAAGCTAATGAATGTACCTTGATACCAATGTAGGCAAGGATTAACAACATAGAAATGCCTACAGTATTTATGTTTACATCCAGTAAGCTTCAACCAGAAAAGTTAAGAGTGGAAAATGAGAATAATCTTTTGGTTGATCATTTGGACAAAACGGATGATGTGGATAGTTGCACTAAACAACGATTGGCAAGAGTGGAACGTGAAGTAGTGGAGTTGAGACAGGCTGTTATAGGTTCTCAGTCTCAGCCAAAGGTAGAAAGTATACCATGCCATAATAATTCATCAGTAAAGGTTATGCTTCTGTTTGCTTTTCTGTGATAATCTCTAATGTATATGCAATTATTTGTTACTTGTCTTGCCTTTTGTCTATAGGGTATAAGATGTGAATCGGCCAAGAGTGGTCTTCAATCGATTGTAGCCGAAAATCAGACTCCAGCCAATGTAACTGTCATACCTTTTTTTTATTGTTTTATTTGTGGCTTCACATCATATTTTATTTTTCATAACAAGTTTCTGTTATTGCAGATACTACAAAAGAAGATAGAAGCACCAAATGGCTTGATCCATGGAAAGAATGTGGAGGTTACATCAAAATATTATTGTGCTGTTCCCCAGAACGTTCCTCCCAGTAAGCCGGTATTCTCTCTTCTCTTACATTTCTTTTTTTTTTGCGAGCATCTTCTCTTACATTTCTATGTTGACATCTAGTGAAAATCATCAATTTGGTGAGAAGTCAAAAAGTCTTTGGTTTCAACACTAACCCTTAATAATTCTAAGTCTAAACTCAATGTTATGATTTGCCTTGGGGACATCCTTCTTTGGTTTGTAAAAGATTATTTTTTGTTTAAAAATGAAAACTTTTAGGAGTGCAATACAATATTTTATAGGTTATATCCTCAACATCTCCATTTCTTTTTGCAAAGTCATAGCCATTTTGGTTCTGAAGACCAAAGCAACAGTTACCTTTTTACCAAAGTAATTGTTCCCTCTAGGTAAATCCTCCACCTTTAATAGTGGAATTTGTCATCTCTTGATTAATGTGTAACAGAAAATGCAAGGGGTGATATTGCCACCATTTAATGCGTTTCCTGGTATGCCTAGGAAGGTTGTAAAAAAAAGTCCAACTCCACGCAGAGCGGTAAGCTTCCTCTCTTTTTTGTTATATTATTTCTTTTTGGCATATCTACATTTACTGAACTTGCATAATGCATGGTTTACTTCTGTATAGAAAGAAATGAACATTATGATGTTTTACGCAATTTTTTTTGCACGTGTTACTGTATACATGTAACTTAGTAGTAGTTGAAAAGGCTTGCATATTTCCTTCTGTTTGGGTGCCAAAGAGGTTTCCTTGTTCTCTATAGTAAGACCCAATACTACAGTTACCAAGGCTATTTCTTCAAAACAGTTCTCAGTTTACAATAGTAGGGGGCATGTGACTTGGAACCATTGTTTTAATGTGTTTGCGAGTGTGTTGCTGCAAAGAGATGCTCCAGTTTTGGCAATATGAGAAAATGAAGATGTCTGACACGCTTAAATGTTGCACGGCCAATTGGCCAAGTAATATCTTTGACTCCTTGTTCTAGTTTGTCTAGATTCTTTGAATGTCATAGAAGTAAAAAATTATATGAATGTTTTCTTTATAGATCTGTGATATTACCATTGCTAACTATTTTAGCTATTTGTCCAGTTGGCAAGGCCTGTTCTAAAGAAACAGTTCCCAGTTCGCTAACCTTATGTACTGAATTTGGCTGATCTAGCTGATTAGTAAGTTGTCTGATAATATTTTCTTGGTTCTTAGTAATGCAAAGAGAAATTCAATGAGCTTGGGCTAGTCCTGATGTCCGATTGCATAAAATAAAAATTATCATGATCCTAAAATAAAGAGAAGTCGCAAGTTTGTGCAAAGATGACATCTCTCAATACAATCTGGCCATGCAACCTGCCACAGTCGCAGATTAGTCGGTTTAGGTTTCAGGGTCTTTTTTCTTTAGTAGTTCGGTTGCCGGTTTGGGTGGTTCATGGAGTGCGCTTCAGCCAGTTCCTTTTTCGGTTGGGAGTGGTTTGTGGTTTCCTGTCTTGTTTTGGAGTTTCTTTTGACCCCGGCTGAAGCGCTTCGCTTTCTTTTTCTTGAGTAGTGTCTGTACACCTTTTTGTTTTTCTTCGTCTAATAAAAATTACAGCAAAGCTCTTGCCGTCCTTTCAAAAAAAAATTTGCCCTCACTAGCTAATGCAATCATGTACAATTAGTGGATTTTGTTGCACGAGATAATGCAGAATTAGTGCATGCCGATTACCATTCTGATGCCAACTTGAGATGGTTGTACGGGTCGTTATGAATTATGATGCATCAAGAAAGATGCCCCCGTCTGGCATAGGAATTATATTAATCCAGTACGTAAGATACTAATGTGTTTTGTTAACTGCTAAAGAATGAATATGTTGGTGGAAAAACAAGTGTAAACTTGAATTGTTTGAATTAGTGAGCATTAGTATGCTAAGATTTGAGAGGAAACCGAGAAATGATAATAAACCTAGAGAGATAATTACTGAAAAATGTACCACCATAGCTCTATGCAGTAAGTAGCTAAGGCCAAAGTGTTACATGTTGCAATCTTCTTTGCTACGATCAGTTATTTAGAAGTTTACTTGTAGCCTGTGCTACCTATTTATCTAATCCTATTGTTTTAAAGCTGTATGATAAAACAAGTTTGGTATGATTGCCTAATTATATTTAGTCTCAATGCTTTTCCATCATGATTTTTTATGGCATGCTCATGATGACATGTAGTACTTAATATGAACAAGTCTGTTTTATGGCACCATCACTTACTCACATGTACATATTTAGTTTGATTCATTGTTTTAATGAGCGTATATGATAGAAAATGTATTGCACACATGCTGTGAATATGTGTATAGTTGTAAATGACTTTATTGGTATTCGTTTTGATCTCTACATTGACTTTGTTTCCTTACTTGGGCACATTTTTTATTTAGAAAATCCCAAGTCAACGCATCCCTTCCTAATTTGTCAGATAAAAGTTTTTGATCAATTTTTATGCAATATGATGATATTTTTTATGCAGCATGATGATATCTAGTAGCTGCCAGCTCATGCGGTTTCCAATTCATTTGCGTGTCCACTAAATTCTGTCTAATTCATGAATATCTCTGCATTTCTGCACCTGTTGAAATGCTACATATCACTAGACTGAAGTTAGTGTTTTGCACTAATTGATGCACAAGATCTTTTACCATCAGGAAACTTTCATAGAAGTAGTTATGCAGTAGTATTTGATACATTATTAATTGCACACTTTGCAGTGGTTAATCTGAAACAATTCATCATATTCTGTCTCTTTGCACCCACCCTTCTCTATTTCCCCCCTTTTTATTTTCGTTAGTTTAGTTCAGTTCTTGGCTTTGTCATGACTGTGTGCCTCTTTGTTTGGAAGATTTAATGTTCCAAGTTCTGAAAACATAAAGCTGTGACATTGACTACTCGTAACTATGGTCATAATGATTCTAATGTCAATGAACTAGTGAAGCAATGTTCTGACACAAGTTGTTTGATGCAGACTTGCAGGGGGGCCATATGTTGAGTAGGTTCTAAAGGCGACGAGATTTCCCTCGTAATATAATGATACACAGCTTTCCTGTGTGTTTGATAAAAAAAAATGTGACAGCGAGATTGCGCTTTGTTCTACTGTGTTGATTCTGCCCAGCATCTATACTTGTTGCTGTGTATGTCTCGCCGCATCTCATTTTGGTCCAAGCTGCACATGATCCAGCAGTATGTATATATGGCCCGGATGGTTCCGGGTCTCATAAGTTTATATTTTGTTGCATATGTTTTGACTAGATGTTAATATAGTAGTGGGTTTATATTTTGGTGAATTGCCTGCAAAAAGGTTATCTAGATGTTGCAAATGTTGTGTCAAACTTATGACATTATTTAAGTGAGACCTATTACCTGTTCTGCCCTACAGATATTAGCAATGAGTGTCCTCTGATGCACTACTGTCACTATAAGATTGTTGAACTCTGATTGTAATCCTAGTTAAGCAATGAAGCTCCTTGTTTCAGAAAACAAGAACGTAGCATAAGCAACTGTCAGGTCGCATCTCATATGCTCGTAGAATTGTGGACTAGGACTAGGATTACTACATTCTGCTGTGTCATCCAGCTCAGTGAAACATAAAGATATCAAGGCAAATATGGATCAATCAAAACCAATACAAGCAAATCTTAGGAGCTGATCTAAACTGGATTTCTCAAATAAAGGTGCTAAGGGACTCAGGTTTCCCACAATCTTCAATCTTGGGACATCTCAATCGCTGTGACCTTCATATTATTTCAAGGTTATATATAACATTAGAAACGAGCTTTTACCATTTAAAATAACAATTGAGCATATGAATCTATTTGCCACAGCCAACATTGAGATAATTCTTCAAACCGATTTAACAGAATTGCTTCCATAAATACCATCCAATCTCATTACATGACTAAAGATATTTTTAAATAAAAAACATGTACACGTATGCACATCACTACATTGGTAAGGCCATCTCTGTAGGGGGTTCATGGTAATTTTATGGACATTAAATAAGATGTCATGGCATAATATAGATTAAGAGAGAGGCGGAAAGTTTCATGGTATAAAATGAATTTCATAGGCATGAAACTTATCTACACTTTTTTCAACACACATGAGTCTGGAAACTGGAACATAAAACCCAATTGAGATTGGACTAAGTGCTGGCATCGTACATCCTCATATCATCATATGCAATGGTCATACTATTGTTTTATTACATTCAAAAAACGTAGGAGTAGTATATGGCAATTCATTTTGCTGTTATGACTTATAATTGAAGGGACTGTGAATGGGTTGAATTAGGCAACTTAAAATCTATTTTTTAAACTATGACCTCTAATTTCCATCTAGTCAAAACATATGCAACAAGCAACCTATTTAGATGTGAAACTAAGGTTTTGCTAGGTGTGTTTCTATCTCTACCACAGAGTTATGTAACATAAGTTCTAATTCTATCACTAACCTATCAAACTAAGCTAGAAATGTAAAGCACAAAACTACAGTACATAATATAATGCGGAAGGTAAAGAGTGGTTGAGATGCAAACTCCCGTCAATTACTCCGTTATTACCAAGGTATCGAGAAGCTCCTCGCTTCCCCCTAGTCCTCATTGAATCCCCTCAGAAGGAAGCCCTCGCAAGGGTCATGCTCTCGGTCGGGTAACAATGTGGACAACCCCTGGGCCTTCCCCACACGCAAGTGTTGGTCTCTCTCGGACCGCTCCTCGCCGTCTTCACTATCGAGCTTCTGGCCAAATCGCCGTGGACCTCGTTCCCTGCAGTACACGGTGGCGGCTACACCACAAACACGGTTGGTGTGATCTCGCAAGACTACAAGCCCCTCTGATGTACAACAATGATGCGCGCAAGCACCGAGTGGTAAGACCCTATAGAGGTATGTAAAACTCACTAAACACTAGGTCTAAACCTAGAGCAAGCGCATTAGCAATGGTCTAACTAGCCTAAGCACTTCGCAAAACACCTACACTAATCACCTAATATTTTCCTAAGCTCTTTTGGTGGCTAGAGCACAAATGGATGAGCCCCAACTCTCCACACACTTCCCTCAGCTGTAGCACCCTCCAAATGGTAGAGCAATGGGGTATATATAGCCTAACATCCAAAACTAGCCTTTACACACCTTCTTGTGAGCATCGGAATGTTCTTATGCCTACCATCGGAACAATCCGGTGGTGCCTCATCAACTAACCGTTTCACAATTTTATGTGAGCATTGGATTGTTCCTGTGACCATCGGATTATAAGCATCAGACTATAAAGTGCCATTTTGCCTTGTGCGCATCGGATTGTTTAATGACCATCGAATTATAAGCATCGGACTATATGTTAACCTTTTTTCTGCCCGACACACTTTCGTATATTGGGCATAACTTTTAGCTCTGAACTTTGATTTTGATGATATTGTACTTTCTGGAAAGCTAATGAAAAGCTCTACAACTTTGAATTGATATCATATCAATCTGAGCATGTCGGGTTCATAAACCCGGGGTCCCCAATGGACCTGCTTCCCTACAAAACTCAGCTCAGCAGGCGGCGCAACGACAGCACACACTTGGCCCGGCCTAGATACACAATGACAGGCCAAGACCACGATCCGGTCCTCGACTAGCACCTCCGGCCTAGAGATCTGGTCGAAGCCCCAACCTCTGGGTTGCGGGCTCCGCCTCGCCTGACCTCTGGATCATAGGCTCCGCCTCACCCGACCTCTGGGTCGGGGCGGGCTCCACCACGCCCGGCATCTAGGTCGCGGGCTCCGCCTTGCCCGACCTCTGGGGGCGGGCTCCGCCTCATCCGACCCCCTTTCTCTGACCGAGGATACGCCGGACCTCTGCTCGCCTCTCTTTTCCGACCGACACGGTCAGGGCCGACTGCGACCAGGGACGCCCGCTTGGTGTGGACCTGGGGAGTAGGCGGAGTAGATAAGGTAAGGCGCTCAAGTCAACTGCAATACCGAGGACCGTACCCTGCCATACCTTGCGCACTTGCTGGACGGTGCCACCAGGCCATGACAGACAGACACTCTATAAACTTCTAGACGTGCCAGAGCATAAACAGTATTGTGGGCGCTGACAGCCATCCCGTACCCGAAGGCGTGAGCAATAAGACTGGGCAGCACACGTATACACTCTCTCT